GGGCGATAGTCTGGACACGCGGGTGTCGACATCAAAGGTATTTGTCGACCACCCAGGTAAACCTCATCCCAGGAGGCATACCTGGGTGGTCGACAAATACCTTTGATGTCGACACCCGCGCGTCCAGACTATCCCACAAACAGCTGATCAGCTGTTTGTCGGCTCAGCACCGCAGCCATGTAAATTTAAATGAAGCGGCGATTATTTAAATCGCCGCTTCATTTTCCTATGTCTGGTAGCCTAATCTACATGCCTCTGGCGACAGAGGCATGTAGTCTAGACGTACCCAGAGATACTGTACTTCAGAGGGCACAAACTAAATGAAGAACAGATTAGGGGAAAAAGACAATTTATTTTAACTTTTTTTCAGAAAATTTCTACTGAAAAAAAAGGGGAAGCCTAGAAGGCAAACAATACAATTTCTCTTCAGCCTACTATCAAGGACAGCAGATAATAGACCTGTGGGGGGGTTTGAGTGTGAGTGTGAGAACTTTTAAGCCCATCTTCCTTTTCTCCCTTCCCCATCTAGCAAATGAAACTAACATGCAGAAGAATAATTTAAGGATAGAAATAGAAAAGTCTAACAATACAAGTTACTGAAATACTGTAAACAAAAAATAAAACTTTGGACTCATGGAAAAGAAAGTGAGGTAATGAATGCAGAACTCAAAAGATATGATAGATGCCTCTGATTCATCTGTTCTAGTGAAACACCACAGGATTTATAGATTTATCAAACAGACTTAGAACCAGCATTGAAGAATGAGGCTCATACAACAGTAGAAAGTTAGGAACCGGTGAAAGGACATTTCAAAAGAAGGAAGTCTAGACAAGCTGGAAGGAAACTGCCAGCCTGAGATACAGCAAAGATATCTAAAAGCAATATGGTATTAAATGAAAATTGTTGTCCCCCCGTCCCCTTCCTAGAAGTTAACATTTTTTTAGATAAGTCATCATCATCAGGATTTTGAGTGCATCACAGTCTAGATCATGGGTTCCCAAACTTGGTGGTACGTCCCCGGGGGAGGGAGGGGGCGTGAGGCGACCCAGTCTCCCCCCCTGACAAGAAGGAGCCCAGTCCATCCTGGGGCAGACTTCAAAATGGCCGCCTTAAAAGGGCAATGCCTGCTCTGCTCTTAAAAAGCCCCCTTCTCCCCCCCCCCAACAAGTTTTGCTGCTATTTTTTTTGGCGGGGGGGGGGGGGGGGGGAGGGAAAGGTGTGAGGGTTTCTAAAAAATCAAAAAGGGGGCGTGATGCTGAAAAGTTTGGGAACCACTGGTCTAGATCTCAGGCAGCATTACATAAAGTTTCACATTGGAGGTTAAGGATAGAGTTTTGCACAGGAAAATAAAGTGACAAGATGCAGGTAAAGTGCCCTAAAATGAAGATTAGATAAAAATGAGTATTCAAAATGTTATTAAAGGAATCAGAGAGACTGATGATGAAATCCCAACTTTATTCTACTCACAAACAACTATATTCAATTGCAAATTTTACTCCAGTACCAGTACTCCTCACACAATGGGAGCTGCACCCACATAAAGTAGCTGCATTTTTGTGCGGATGCTCTCTGACAATACTTCATACAGAAGTATTGTATGAATCAATACAAAGTATTGTAAGATAGCGATTATCTCCTCATGCTTCACAGTTGTTACTTGTGCAAGGTTAAAGAGGGAATCTGGGGCAATGCCGTTCTAGTAACAAAGCAATTCCTTACCCCCTGTCCTGCGCTTAAGCTATCCAAATTTACTACATGGTGTGTGAACTGACATCAAACACAGTTGCATTAAAAATAATAAAAAGGATGATTTTAAAAGGGTGCAGCTAGCATATCTTTAAAAAAAAAACCACAGAAGGTGGTTTGAATAACTTCTGAAGAATTGCAGTATAAAATTTTCAGAGGGGTAGCTGATTTAGTCTATAACAGGAAAAACTTAAACAAACAAACAAACAAACAAACAAACCGAAGACTAGTAGCATCTTAAAGACTAACAAAACATGTAGATGGTATCATGAGCTTTCGTAGGTAAAGCCTACTTCTTCAGATGACAGGAGTGTTAGAAGTCCAGATTCAAGAATAAATAAGGGAAGGGGGGAAGGTGGGGGGGAAGAGGAAGAAAAGGAGGGGAGCTTGGATCTTGGATCTGGATTTCTCTCCCTCCCCCCCGCCTTCTCTCCCCTCCCTCCTTCCCTTATTTATTCTTGAATCTGGACTTCTAACACTCCTGTCATCTGAAGAAGTGGGCTGTGCCCACAAAAGCTCATACCACCATCTATATGTTTTGTTAGTCTTACTAATCTATTGTTGCTTAAGTATAAAATTTAATAGTAGTAGATTTCTAAATAAAAATAAGTGGTGAAGTTGATTCTTTTCTTACAAGAAAAGCCAGCATTTCCTGTTGAATATTTTAAGTACAAATTTCTATAAAAATATTAGTATGGTGCCATTTTTAAAGCAAATCTGACCCAACTGCTTACACACAAAACCTTAAAATCATCTTGAAAAGAAAGAAGGTGAGGATCACTAATGGAAAAAGTGGGTCTATATTGACAAGAGAATTAACCTCAAAAGAAAAGAAAAAGACAAAGATAGAAGGTTCAGAGAAGTAAAATGCAAAAGTAAGTGAGGAAAAAAAAATAGAAAAAATTAGGCTCTGCAGGCTTTCTGATTCTGTTTTCTGGGCTAGTTTACAATGCGCATTGAAAGACTTAATGTGTAAACATCAGAAAATGTATGCATAAAGTCATTTTAGTGCCATTAGTTCCCTCACTATGTGCAACTTTTTGCTCATTATCTTTTTATTCCATTCCTTAATAATTCTAAGGGCTCCTTAGACACTTTTCCACATCTATCTTCCCTGCAGCCTAATACTTTTTCTTGAGCATGTATACAGTCTCAAAGTCTATTACTGTGCTGTTTTCACACAGTAGAGATGCAGTCAGCAGAGGAAGTGGGTTTTTCCTTCCATGATGTTCTTTCAATTTACATTAACAGAAAAAATACAGTTCTAGCATTTTAGAATTATTTTTCCTTGTCTGTACCAGACATTTTAATTTTCCAAACACTGTTCCCTTCACCATAAATTCTTCCCCATGATTGGGTTGGAAAAAAAATTATGAACGCATTTATTTGTGTAACCACTGCACAACTATGCTTTTACATTCTTCATTCTCATGTAGACAGGAGGTAAAACTCTGGCATTTTTGTAGCTATCCCAAGGGGGAGGGGAAGGTAACTTTTTATGGCATATTTTTTGAGAGAATGTTGGATTTTATTTCAAAAGCTAACATTAAAAATCTGCAGGAGAATATCCATTGTGAATCATGATATAATAAAGGTAAATGATAAGTGGAATAATTAAATTGCCCACTTAAGTGAACTGAAATTACTTTAAGATAAAATAAGTCTCTTCAGAATTACCTAAAAAAAAAAAAAACCAAAACCAAATATCCTGAAATGTTACTAAAAACACAAAAAGCTAAACAATTTAAAAAAATCTACATTTACTCTGACAGGATTTGAATATTTCTGAACAGAGGATGCTTGCATCTGGTTCACAGGTGGCTATTCAGATCTGTTCTACTTTTATGTATGCTACTTAGCTTAGATTTGTACTTGTTCCTCTTATCTCAACTTGATAGAAATTGGCCAACTTCACTGTTTCCTGTTAAGTTTCATTTTCAGATTCTCAAATAAAAGTTACATTCTGAGTTGGAGACACCACAGGGGAAAGTTTCTGTTTCTGCAGTCTCATTGTTATACAGAACCTTCTATTCCATTGCATTATTTTTAATTCAGCAGAAGTGCTTCTATTGGTCTCGATAGGACACTATCAGCTTGAAGTCTCATCCAAAGGTTCCCTATCTTTTCCACAGATATGGTACATAAATTATTTTCTAATGAACAGTGATTACATGACATCTTTAAGGCAACCACAGCAACTGATTATATGGAAGACATTAAGAAAATAAAATGTATCCTTTAGCTATCAACACAATTTAGCAACAAAAAACAAGGTGGTGAGTCAGCACGCTGATTGTGGGTGGGGAACCACTAAACCAGAGCTACTTAACACATGACCCGTGGATGGGAGCCAAAACAAAAAAGTTGCCAATATAATAATGTTCTGTCAATATGCATTTTAGAAGTTAAATTCCTGGACTGTCATTGCTCATTAAGAGTGCTGTCATATGGATGCAAATGGGACAATATTGCATTTTACTAATATCAGCAGAACTGACTTAAATGGGGCCTGCACGTTGTGTAGTCAGTATGAAAGAAGCTATCTACATATATACAGTAATTCCTCATTTAACACTATAACTATGTTTCAGAACATGATCGTGTTAAGTGAAAACGAGTTATGTGGGGTCAATTTTCCCATTGAAAATAATGGGGATTGCGTTTCAAGCGGTGGTGTCTGTTGGGACCCGGACATAAGGTTAGGGGGAAAAAGGGGACTGGGTTAGAGCAAGGAGGGGAGGTGTTTGGGGAAGAGAAGGGGAGGAGAGGGGAGGAGGATTAGGTTGGGAGTATGCCTCTGTGACGGGTCTGCCGGGACCCGCACTGCATCTGGTGGAGGGGGCGGGAGAGTTGTCGTCAGGGAACAGCACGGTGAGTGGCGAACCCTCCGCCGCTTTGCAGGGAGGCATGGGAAGTCCTGTGCAGTGGCCAACAACAGGCTGGCTGGGGAAATCGTGTTATTCTGGGGACGATCGTGTAATTCAAAAAACATTCAAAAAAAATCGTGCTATCGCGAAAACGTGTTAAGTGGGCACGTGTTAAATGAGGAATTACTGCATGCAACCACACTTCAGTTGCGGCCCCCCAGGCTTCCAAAGTTGAGTAGCCCTGGACTAAACCAACAAAACCAAGAATACCCCCCCCAAATATTTTCAAGTAAGACACCTATCCCAGAGACCTTCTGTAAGCCAAATATGTTTATAATTATATTTTTCTGTTTTGTGTTTCTTTCCCATGTTGCTGAGGGAAAGACTCACATCAACAGAATTAAGTAGCCACAAGATGGTGTCAAATACATAAAGTAAATAAACTGGAGATGTGTCTGTGTGTGGGAGGGAGGAGGGGTAAGGGAGAAAAATCTATTTTCAACAGCTTTCATATATCATAGGTGTTACTTATAATACCAGGCAAAAATTCCAGACAGAGACATGAGTTTTCTAAGCTGAAGGTTTTCTTCACATGTTTTTAGGGGAAAATAAGGTTTTGCCAAAAATATAAATTTCAAGACAAATCTGACTTTATGTGCACATTTACGGCAGAAAGACAGACTCCTCCAGTAGGAAAATCTTAAAAAACAACTAATAGTCTAGTAGCATTTTAAAGACTAACAAAACATGTAGATGGCATCATGAGCTTTTGTGGGCACAACAGTGCCCATGCAGAAACATAAATCAAAGCTCATTATGTTGAGATCTATCCAGCTTAAGTTCAGACCAAGGCTCTGAAGTGCAAGTGATATAGGTAACAGTTTCCTCCTGTTTTGGTGTCTCCAATCCAAATAATGATGAACAAGAACTTTAGAGGTCCTTCTACAGATTAAAAAAAAACAGGGCCAGATCCTTGTGTATCTAAAACCCTCATAAGGGGTGCTTTGCGCTAGCAATAAGTCCAGCACTTGGCTCATCGAATGAACAATTACAGTGTGCTGGCTTTAAGGATAAGAAAGAGACTTACAACTTGGAAGAGGACACATATCGAATCAAGATCAAAGCCATCTTGCTATAGTTTTGTTTAGCTATTTCCATAGGGAAGTATATATAAGCAAGTAAACAAAATCCATCCTATTCAATCGATCGTTGGAGACAACCAACCTTCCCAACCTTTTTTCATGCACGCTCCTAGCGGTTTCTGAGTAAGAGATGTCTCGTTATTATTGAGGGTCTCTTTCAGAGGTACTTACTTATCTACCAGAGTTCGTATAACTGCCAGCGTGTCAAGCACTAGTCCATCGACATTCTGTTTTTTCCTTCTTGGTTCATGTGGCCCTCGTCCCCTCCTGGGCGGCCTTACGGGGTCCCTTGGATGGCTTCTTGCTTCAGGTACTGGTATTCTACTATTCTGTGTTTGCTGATTCTGGGTTTCTACATTGTCTTCCACGCCACTATCATCTCGACAAACACAGGAGTTGCCCATGTTGCTAGCCCCCAAAGTTCCCAGTATGCAGGGGATGTGCCGCTCTAGAGTCAGCAGTAAACCTTGGAAAAGGCTTCTGCTAGCATAAAACACAACCAAAGCAACTACAATCATCTAGAAAGTTTTAAGAATAATATTTGTGTGATCCTGAAATGTAGTCTTTGCATTGTTTGTTGCTAAGAAGCTGGAATGAATGGGGAACTGCAGATTTAGCTTCCGACATCATCAATTAAGATATGCATTGTCATCCAGAAGCAGGTCTGAGGGGGGGAAAAAAGAAAAAGAAAAATGCAAGTCATTCATGTTTCATTAACTTTGCCAGTAATAAGCAGGTCTTAAAGTTCCTTCATCAAGAGTGGAGTAAACAATTAGCTTGAAGATAACTGATGCCTAAGTGGGCTGAGTTCACATCTGGGGTCCATCTTGCTGTGTACCCAGAACACCCAATGAAATGCCTGGGAATTTGGTATGCAAATAATGCTGGTGTGCAAATTGGGCAAGGATGAAACAAATGTGTGGAAGCACACATTGAAGTTCTGGGAGAAACAGTCCATGATCTTTTTAAGAGTATTACACAATGTGTTGCTTCTGGAGGCCAAATACATCCCACACCCCATGGATTCCTAGTATCCCTCATTCCTTCTCCCCAAACTTCATGGGTGCCCACCCCTCCTACCTAATGTCAAAGGTTTGGGGGGCGCACACCCTGGTGCCAGGGGCTCAGTGTGTCCCCTTTAACCTCAAAGCAAGGCTCCATGTCATCCCCTCCCTACTGTTCCCAATATTTTCCCTCAACCACCATATGCCTGGAGTTATGTGCCAGCCCTTCCCCTCATCATTTTGATTTCCTGTCTTTCAGCCTGGAGGACAGGCTATTAAGAGTAGGGATGTGAATGGTTAACCAGTTAGCCTCACCCTTAACAGGGGAGGCTTACTGGAGCCTGTTAACTGGTAGAGACTGGAGCAGTTCCCTGCTGTCTGGGCGGCCAAAGCACTACCTGATCACGGGTGGGCCCAGCCTGGGCAGCACACTGCAGCAGGGACTGCTCCAATCAGCTGACTGGATCAACCCCTATATGTGCCCCCCCCCCCCCACACACACATCCTTTAACTGGTTAAACTGGATTTTACATCTTTAAGAGTGTCAACCATCTGAACTGTACTGGGAGTACAGACAAAACTGAGATAGGGATTGTGATGTTGCAAGGTATTAATGACTGCCATCAGCTCGTTCTTTGCTCCAGAAATCTTTATGGAGGTGAGGCTTCTGGGACTGTTAGTAGATGGAAGGGGCTCTGGATGTCCCCCATTTCCTATCTTCCCCAGAGATCTGACCACTGATGTCTACACAACATTCCTTAAAAATCATGAAATTGATTGGATGTGGCATTCAAAATGAATGCCATCAAGCTGAGGGGAAGGTCTCACTTTACTCAGCCAATATTAAGCACCACATGTTTTATCTTTCAGGCCTTAGAAGAACCCTTAAAAACCAAGATCCTGTCTATTTTAGAGACCTCCCTGCAGCCTTTAGAGAAGCCACATGAAAGTGAATGTAAAAAGTTTCCTAATTCAGTTACAGCATCACACTCCCTTCCCTCTGCGTAGACTGTGTGAGGTGCTCTACATGCCCACCTTCACACCAAGCCAGACTGCATTTCTTCTAGAAAAACATTAACACAGCTATGAGAAATATTACATCTTGTAGTACGGTGTCCATTTCAGTTGGAAAAGGGCAGCCAATGACAATCACATTAAAAGATAATTACAAAATCAAGCACTCAAAAGTTAGTAATGTAATTAAAGACTGTACCATAATGCATGTGCATAAGTGGGCCAAATTATGGATCTTTGGGATTGGAGATACGAGGAAAACAGACTCTGATCAGAGGGTGAGCCGTACCCCACTGTGTTACAAGCACTATGTGATGAGCCTCATGGAGTTTTCCAAATGTTTTTTCCTTGTTCTTTACAACAAAAGGGTGCAGCCTGGGCCTTATTCATCACAAATATTAAATTCCATGTCGTCTGTCTATATAGACAGACAACAATCATAACAATGAACTATCTGTTTGTTTGAAATAACTCATAAAGGCCTGACTCCAAGATAAGGATGTAAAATCCTGTTTTAGTTCATTAACCGGTTAAGTGTTATGTTTAAACCATTAACTGATTAGATATGAGTGTGCTGGATTGGCCCCTCAGTCCCACACGTCTGAGCAACCCCTGCTTGAGTCAAATGGGAAGCTGCTCCAGCCCCTATCGATTAATTATTCACATCCCTACTCCAGGAGTCACTCAATCACCAACTGCTAGTAACATTTTTGGTACATGTTTGGATCTAGGGGTGACAAAATAATTTTTCTTCATTGAGAATTTTAAGATCAAAGTAGCTTTACACGGTCTTATTCCAACTGGTTTCATTTATATAACAAAAAGAAAAATCTATTACAGTACTCATGCTAACCAATCAAGACCAATAAACTGTGCTGGAGAACTACTGAATGGTGAGAACTAGAGCAGGATATTTAAACCCCAGCTCCTCACTTACCTGTTGAATATATTCAACATAAACATGTATCAGTGCAAAGAACCATGTTTTATGTACTACCTGGAAAAAAGTTGTGTGGGACAGAGAAGCTCCAAGGACATGATTTCACTGTTTTGGATACAGTGCCAGCAAACAGTTTCTGGAACAGTTGGGCTCCCTAATGGAATACTGTAACAGAAATGAACCATAGCTCCTTAGGGCACAAAAAAGTAGCACCATATGGGATTTTATCATAGCCAGTGAATTTTACTGCTCTACTGATTCCAATAGCTACATGTTTAGAAGCGGTGATCCTGGGTATGGGTCAAGCCATACTGCACATGTGATTTGTTCAGAAGAAGTTTCCAAGAAAGGGGGTAGTATTCCTGAGGGCTGAGAATTTTCAGTGTTGTGCAAGAGATTGTGCTGTACTTATTGGAAAGAACATGCCACACAGGGTACCAAAAAAGAACCAACACCTAATAGATTTAGGACTAAACCTACTATCAAAAGCTGAGCTGCCTTGGGGCTTCTATGCAAATTAGGGATGTAAAATTCCGGTTAAAAAATTAAACATTCCATTTAACTGGTTAACTAGTTAACTGTGATGCCTCCAAGGGGGGCAGCTCTGGCTACGCTGGGCCAAGGAGAGCAACGACCTACTAGTTAACCGGTTTCCCCAGTAAGGCACATGCTTACTACATTCCTAATGCATTTGCCAACAAGAAAAACCATTGCTTTCACTATGCTGGGAATCTGAAACAGAACATGGGATGAGGACCTCTCTCCTCCTCCAAACAACTGGCTGCTGAAAGGGAAGCATCAATCTCTGTGTGAAATAGCTAACCAGGACAAGAAAGAGCTTCACTGTCAAAAAAGCTTCACCTCTGCCCAATATAATTTGATCAGCCAGAATCAAACTTCTGAAAATGTTGTTCTACTTCCTGTCACAGTGCTGCTGGGCAGGGCTGCACTTATCTGTGCATCAAGATCACTTGCAACTGCAATTGCAAAGTGCAATTTCAAGCCATGAGCAGAATCAAACTCAAAATGACAATTAAAACTGTAATTGTAAACTGAGCAGTTTATAAACCAGCCTTTATGAAATTCCACTTTCCCAGGGAGAGCAAGCTATCAAATAAATAAAATATTTGTTTTAAAGGGTATGAAAGCTACATTTTGTCATAGCACTTTGCGCCTGGTCTAGTAGATTGTCATTACAAGTTTTGCAAAGCTGCTATGAGCAATGATTTTACTATCAAGGCTGAGGGTGGCCGTTCCAGCTCAATTAATTTCACTGCTGAAAATAAAAATTGAAAAAGAGTTTTAAATTAAACTTTACAGAGAAACACAGAAGCTATGTTTACACTGGCGGGTTCTTGTGCAAGAAGAACCCGCAGAGCATCCACACTGCCCGCTCGCTCTTGCACAAGAAGATTTTCAGTACGGTGTCGGAAGACAGGGCTTTTTGCGCAAGAGCTATGCTCTTTTCTAACAAGTAGTATAAGCCCTCTTGCTCAAAAGGACAGTGTGGATGTGCGGCAGGGGTTTCTTGCGCAAGAAAGCCCTATGGCTAAAATGGCCATGAGAGCTTTCTTGCGCAAGAGGGCATCCACACTGCCATGGACGCTCTTTGGCAAAAGCACATGGGAGCGTGGACGTGTTCTTGCGCAAGAACCCGCCAATGTAGACATAGCCAGACTGAAACAGAGATTCAAGGGACAAAAGAAGCGTTAAAATACCTTGGAACATCTCAGACAAAAATGGGGAACAAACCAAGGGCAAAAGCAGTTTTGTTACATAAAAACCACTGATTTGTTTGGCAATGGAGACACTGAATAAAATGACTGGTATGTAATACAAGAGTATGGTCTCTATCACGGGAAGATAATGCAATGCTATGTCCCCATCACACCTATTCAAGGAAGTATACACATTGGCTGCGTCAAGATTGGCATGATTTTCCGGAAATGCTTTTAACAGAAAAGTTTTCCGTTAAAAGCATTTTCGGAACAGAGTGTCTAGATTGGCACGGACGCTTTTCCGCAAAAGCACTTTTTGCGGAAAAGCATCTGTGCCAATCTAGACGCGCTTTTCCGCAAAAAAGCCCCGATCGCCATTTTCGCGATCGGGGCTTTTTTGCGGAAAACAAATCTGAGCTGTCTACACTGGCCCTTTTGTGCAAAAGCTTTGAGCAAAAGGGACTTTTGCTTGAACGGGAGCAGAATAGTATTTCCGCAAGATGCACTGATTTCTTACAGTAGGAAGTCAGTGCTTTTGCGGAAATTCAAGCGGCCAGTGTAGACAGCTGGTAAGTTTTTCCGGAAAAGCAGCTGATTTTCCGGAAAAACTGGCCAATCTAGACACAGCCATTCTGAAGTACATATGGCCATGAAAGATAAAAATGTCAAAAGTTTAGCGTAAAGGAAGTAAAGTACAGACATGCTAGAAGGTATGCTGTACAGATCATCAAGTCAGGAAGGGAAGGTGGACAAAGGCTGCCTAGAGCAGATGCCAGATTACAGCACTGTAATAAATAGGACTACACTGGTTTCCCCAAACACAGTACATTGACTCAGAGCAGTAGCCATATTAGTCTGTAACTTTAAAGATAACAAGTAGTCCTTAGCACCTCAGAGACTAACAAAAATACATAGGATCATGAGCTTTCATGGGTAAAATCCACTTCATCAGATGAGGTGGAGTGGTAACAGAATCCAATATAAAAAGACAGCAACAGAAGTGCAGTTAAATTGATTTCAGCAGGGTGAGAATTTCACCCTAGAAGTATCTTTAACAAAGCATCTTAGTCACAGAATATAAAAAAATTTACAGTTAATAAAAACTACTGGTTTTGCTCATTTCCAAATTCAGACAATTCATCAGTTGAGAATTTGTATAAAACTCATATTTTAAGCAAAATCTGAATTATTCCCCTCCCCTCCACAAGAAAAAATCCTCAATATAAAGCTAAAGAAAGCGAGAGAACTAAAACTCTGAAGGAAATTATCAAAACTGGTCAAAATGTAAGCTTTGTTTAACAAAGAAGTAAAAACAATTTTTTGTATGACTGGAAACATTCTGTTGGCTTTCTTATTTAAGTATTTTATTTGTTTTAAAAGGTCCCTACCTACACTGTTTATTAGGGATATAAAAATCCCTTAAATGCCAGTTCTTGGGGAGCCGCCTGCCTCCCTGTGCTGCAGAAGGGTGGGGTGGCAAGAGCTGGGCTCTTACTACATTTAAAAAGCAGAGGCGCTGTGTCTGGGACCTGGTGCAAACCGGGACTGAGCAGTCCTGGCTCGCCTAGGTCCCCTGCTGCGCCTCCGCCTCCCCTGTCCCATCATGGAGACAGTGTTGGGAAGGGGAGGAGAGGAGGGGAAAAGGGAATTGGTTTTTAAGCACAGGTTTCTGCTCCCCCTGATACAGATGCAGTGGGGGCAGAGAGGGAGAGAGCAACTAGCTGAGTAGTGACTCGACTAGTTGCTCACATCCCTTTTATGGTCATTAACATGGTCCGAGCTCCCTACTGGTCCCCCAAACTGGACTACTAGCTTTAAGTAGTAAGTGGCATTGGTTTCAAAAAGGTTTTGAACTGGAATCCCAACAGAACTGGAATGTCAACTGTATATGATGCATGCTGCATAGTTGTAGCTGTTTTGCTCCCAGGATATTAGAATGGGTGGTATAATAGCTTTTCTTGGCCCAGCTTCTGTTGGTAAGAAGAGACAAGCCTCCAAGAAAGTTTTAAAAGCTTGCATCTCTCATCATATACAATTTAAAAGAGAGAAGGTGGGGGACGTAATATTCTATTGGACCAACTTCCGTTGGTGAGAGAGACAAGCTTAAAACTTTCTTGGAAGCATGTCTCTCTTACTAACAGAAGTTGGTCCAAGAAAAGCTATTTCCTCACCTACCTTGTCTCTTTAAATTGCATAGATTTAATTTAAATTGGCTTTAAAAACTTTAATCCTATCAACGAAAGCAGTGGAGTTACATCAGGGTTGAATATAATCCATTACATATTTAAATTAAGGATTCCAAAGGGAAAGAAAATCCCCAAATCCATTATCTCTAGGTTCACTGAAATTATACCCAAATTTGGGCAATTAGGACTTTGATCCTGCAAGATGCTGAGCACACATGCTAAAACACACTTTCTTCAATCAGGCTACACTGCTCAGAACCTTGTAGAATAGAGCCTTTCACCTCCAAACAGAAGCAACTCTATACTTGATACAAGAGCTATAATAGTAATATCAAATACAACTCAAAGATTTCCAAACAAAAAAGGCACACAGTTCAGATCTTTAATCTAAGGACAGAAAGTTTGGTCAGCATAAATATGTCAATCAAGGCTGCTTATGCTTTGTTTTTAAAACTAATATAGTTATTCTCATAAAAGCCCCCACAAACCTACCTCTATTTTAGATCTGTCTCCTGTCCAAACTAAAATCTCAGCTTGATGTCTAACCATCAGTTAAAGATAAAATATGGTTAAAAAAGACAGCTTTTAATCCTGCCTCCGGCTCTCCTCACTTCCTCCTTTCTTGATCGTTACAGGCACCAAAACGCCATGGGTGCTATGAAAAAAAAAGTTAGTAGGTGTTTAGCAGCCAGCTCATCCTCACCCCCCAGAGCCTCCACCTAATCAACTCCTGGCCCTCCCTGTCAGCTGTGCCGCAATGGGCAAGAGTCAGTGGGGTGGGGGGAAGGAGGAGAGAAGTGGGTACAGGTTATGAAGTGGGCAAAGATAAGGTAGAACTGGGAGGAAAGGAAGAGACAGGGGTGGAGACTTGGGAGGTCAAGGGGTCAGGTGAAGGTGATAGCACAATCATACCTGTCACACTGGCTACAGGAAAAGGCTTTATCCTTTATTCCAATGTCGATTTCATTGAAAACAAAAAAAGGAGAAACAGTACACGGGCCAAGTGCCACATATAAAGAGACTACAATAATTCAAAATTTAACAGCTAAGCTGAAGTGCTTGAAAAATATGACCAAATCCACCAGCCTAGATTCAAGGCAATCCCAAATTCCCCTGGGAGGCCGTTATTACAAGGTTGGGGAATCCTATTAATATTCTGTAGGATTACACCAGTATAAAAAAATAACAGCTCAATGAAAGAAAAGGTGTACAAATCAGAACAAAACAGAGGCCTTTAAAAGACCAAAATAGACTTGGTTATGTTTGGAAATAGTGTTGGAAGGTTAACCGTAATAGTCTGTTTCAATAAAACAACTAGGAGTCCTGTTATTTGGCCATAAGCTTTTGTGGGCTAAATAATTTAGTTAGTTTTAAAAAGTACCATAGGATTCCTCATTGTTTTGGTTGTTTAAAAGAACTGATTAATTAGGTTATATTATGAAGAGGCAATTGCCTGGATATAGTTGTAATCAGGTTACCATTATAAGCTTGATTTCTCTTTCACTCACATGCTCTGAAATGAAAGAGATGGTTCCACTGATTCAAATTTCAAATGTGACTTAAGAACAAAAGAATTCCCCCAAAAACACACAATGCTTTTTTTTGCCTGTCTCTTCACAGATAAGGTCAGCTCCCAGACAACTGCCCTAGGAAACACAGTATGGGAAGGAGGTGGACAGCCCCCGGTGGAGCAAGAACAGGTTAAGAACTATTTAGAAAAGTTGGACATATATAAATTCATGGGGCCGGATCTAAAGTATCTGAGGATGCTGAGGGAGTTGGCTGATGTGATTGCAGAGCCATCGGCCATTATCTTTGAAAATTTGTGATGATAGGGGGAGGTCCCGGATGATGGGAAAGACAAATGCACTGCCCATCTTTAAAAAAAGGGAAGAAGGACAAACCAGGGAACTACAGACCAGTCAGCTTCACCTCAGTCCCAGGAAAAATCATAGAGGATCCTCAAAGAATCCATTTTGAAGCAGTTGGAAGAGAGGAAAGAGATCAGGAACAGTCAACATGGATTCACCAAAGGCAAGTCATGCCTGACCAACCTGATTGCAAAGCTTCTGATAAAGTCTCCCGCAGTATTCTTGCCAGGATGCTAAGGAAGCATGAACTGGGTAAACGGATGGTAAGCTGGCTAGATTGTCGGGCCCAACGCGTAGTGATCAATGGCTCGATGTCTGGTTGGGGGTCGGTTTCAAGCGGAGTGCCACAAGGGTCGGTTCTAGGCCCAGTTTTGTTCAACATCTTTATTAATGACCTGGATGAGGAGATGGATTGCACTCTCAGCAAGTTTGCGGACGACACTAAGCTAGGGGGAGAGGTAGATACGTTGGAGAACAGGGATAGGGTCCAGAGTGACCTGGACAGATTAGAGGATTGGGCCAAAAGAAAGCTGATGAGGTTCAACAAGGACAAGTGCAAATTCCTGCACTTGGGACAGAAGAGTCCCACGCACTGTTAGAGGCTGGGGACCGACTGGCTAAGCAGCAGTTTGTCAGAAAAGGACCAGGGATTACAGTGAATGAGAAGCTGGATATGAGTCAATGTACCCTTATAACCAAGAAGACTAATGCCATATAAGGATGCATTTGGAAGAGCACTTTCAGATCTAGAGAAGTGATTATTCCCCTTTATTTGGCATTGGTGAGGTCTCATCTGGAGTATTGCATCCAATTCTGGGCCTCCCATTACAGAAAGGATGCGACTGCATTGGAGAAAGTCCAGCAGAGGGCAACAAAAAACGGTTAGGGGGCTGGAGCACATGACTTATGAGGAGCAGCTGAGAGATTTGGGCTTAGTCTACAGAAGAGAAGAGTGAGGGGGGATTTGAGAGCAGCCTTCAACTACCTGAAGGGAAGTTCCGAAAAGGAAGAAGAGAAGCTGTTCTCAGTGGTGACTGATGGCAGAATGAGGAACAATGGTCTTAAGTTGTAGTGGGGGAGGTCTAGGTTGGATATTAGGAAAAACTATTTTACTAGGAGGGTGGCAAAGCACTGGAATGGGTTACCTAGGGAGGTGGTGGAAACTCCATCTCTAGAGGTTTAAAAAAATCCCAGCTTGACAAAGCCCTGGCTGGGATGATTTAGATGAGACTGGCCCTGCTTTGGGCAGGGGATTGAACTCGATGACCTCCTGAAGTCTCTTCCAATCCTATGATTTTATGAAAAGGCAGATAGCTGGGAGTAGAGGGTGGCATAAAAAACCCAATGTTACAAAAGCAATCCCATACAGATGCCTATACACTGCATGTCTGTCACGTATTGATAATATCAAATCTATTCACAATAGGCCTGATCCCAAAACATCTTGGAAAGAATGTTAGTGAGGGTTTTGGCTAGCATGGGCATCAATCTAGTTTTCTTTAATATATAGCCCAGGAAAATGTAACACCTCAGACATTTGGTTACTGTCAGCAACAATATTGCCTCAGAATGGAAAGAGCCTCCCTTTTTCAAGAAGCTGAGAGTATCCTTAAGCAATTAGAAACTGATAAGTTAATAGATAAGAAAAAGCAGTTTCAGACATTAAATAGATTTTTGTTTCAGCTCCCACTCATCTCCCAGAAACATTTCCCTCTCCCAAACAGTACAGTAAAACAATAGCTTTCATGTCACTACTGTCTGAGCTGTCTTAAGGATGTTGAATGAATGCAAGAAGTAGAGTTTTCTATTGCAAAGGTAAAATATTTTAAATTTTTTGCTTGAGAACCTCGTTTTCTAACAAAAGAGAGATAGCTTCTGGAGAAGAGTATTGGTAGTCAAGTTCAAGCTACTGCTGGGAGATCAACCTGACTAAATAACAAAACTCCACAGTTATTATTTCTATTTCTTGATTTAAGTCAGTCAGATATAAAATGCCAGATCAAGGTCGGCACTCATTGGTGGGGCAGCATGGGGAAACCTTATCCACAGTCACCACAGACTGTGAATAAATCATTAACATGTAGGACTGGAAGTGACCTTGAGAGTTCATTTACTCCACCCTCCTGCACAGAGGCACAACCTACTATAATAAAGCCATCACTCATAGGTGTTATTGTCTAACCAGTTCTTAAAAACAATTAATGACGAAGACCCTACGATGTCTCTTGGAAGCCTATGCCAGTGCTTACCTATCCTATGCTAGAACACTTTCCCTAACATCTAACCCAAACCTCTCTACTTGCTACAGATTCATTACTTTTCATCCTACCTTCAATGGACAGGTACATTTGCACTCTTATTTTCTTAACAGTATACGCCCAGTTTTCCCAACCTTTCCTCATAGGTCAGGTTTTGCAAATCTTATATTTGCTGCGCTCCCCAGGATGTCCTCCATTAACTGTGTTGGCCGGGACCGGACAATGCACCTCAACCAAAGACTCACTAATGCAAGCAGAGCAGGACAATGGCTTCCTGCATCTTTCATGCCCATTTTGCCTCTTGTGTGTAGATAAATGAAGGATGTCAATCCACAGTGCTATCAAAGTGTAACTTTAAAAAAAGTGAGAGACTGTTTTCTCCCAAAGGTTTTACCAACTATTTAGTTCTCCTGGCTCTCCTTATCTTGGGAGGAAGTGAGTGCTTCTTCTCATGCTAGTGTTACATATTTGGCTATTATGGTCCTCTCTCTGACATGCTACTTCCAAAAAACCTACTTTTCAGATCTAGAAAAGAGGTAAAAGCTGACTATTCCCATAAGCAAATATTTTGAGTTAGGTGGAATGAATATATATATATATATATTTTTTTTTAAAAAGGACCACGCTCCTTTAACAAGTGATACAGGACCAGCAGCACAGGGAGAGGTTGCTTACAGGAAGCTGGCTAAAAAGCCAGGTCCTCACAAGAAGCTGGCTAAAAAGCCAGGTCCTCACAAGTACCAGCTTCTACCCGTTCCACCCACAGGGTGTGTGTGTGTGTACCAGTCAGCCCAGGCTCATCAGTGAACTGTCTACACATTTACACTTTCACATCCCTAGTATTAAAACCCAGAAAAGAGAGGTTTTTCTACTATTACTATAGAAACTATACTATAGAAGCGGCATCAATAAGATTGTTTTATTTAAAAGACATCTTACTTAAAATAGAGAGTTGAAATTATTTGTACCCCTGTGAATCATGCTATGATCAACAATATAACAATGGTAATACCCCAGATAGGCAATATGACTAATGTATTATGGATGTAAAAATATGCTGAAACAGTTTTGGATGTGTAAAACATTTTGATAACACTTTTGAAAGAAATTCATTGTTGGCTCAGAACTTTGCACTGTATTTTGTTAGAATTGCCTAAGCACAGGCTTAATGTCTAGAACCGTGGTCTCCAACCTTTTTACACCCAAGATCACTTTTTAAATCTTCGAACAAGTGAAGATCTACCGCCCCGCCCCTTCCTTGAAGCCCCGCCCTCTCTATTCTCCTCCTGTCCATCACTTGCTATCCCCAGCCCTTACTTACACACACTGATAAACAGTTTATTTTTAAATGATGCGAGGTATAAAATTAAAATCACGTGTTTATAGTTATGAAATAAATGATCTGCTTTTTATTCACGCTATTTAAATCTAAAATGAAGCATTTATAATTATACATTTTGTAGGGACATAGTTCTGCGGCGGGGGGCAGGGAAGAGGGAACAGGGTGCTGGGAGGGCAGAGGACAGGGTTCTGAAGCAGAGGACAGAGTGCCAGTGGGGCAGGTTTCTGCAGCTAGGGACAGGGTGCCAGTGGGGACAGGAATAGGGACAGAGTTCTGTAGCTGGGAACAGGGGAGTGGGAACAGAATTCTGTGGCTGGGGGACAGGAGAGTGGGGACAGAGTTCAGGGAGTGGGGAGGGGAGTGGGAACAGAGTTCTGTAGCTCAGGACAGGAGAGTGGGGAGAGAATTTTGTGGCTCGGGATAGGGGAGTGGGGACAGAGTTCAGGGAGTGGGGACAGGGGTGCCAGTGGAGGCAGAGTGTCCTCTGTATCTGCCTCCTCCCAGGACTCCCCTCCCCCAGAGGGAAACCAGGGTGTGCCCCACACGCGC